CCCGATGCGGGACTCGATCCTGGGACTCCAGGATCGTGACCTGAGCCGAAGGCAGTCGCTTAACTAACTGAGCCACCCAGGCGCCCGACTTTTCTTTATTTCATGGACAGAGTCCAAACTAGAACAAGAATGGAAAAAAAAAAAAAAAGACTAGAAAGAAAATGGAGTTATAGTTTTTCTTCATTATATGATATAGAAATATATTACCCTTTTTATGATAGCATACTCTTCTACTAATCTCTTTTATGATTTTGACTCAAGGAGAACTCATTTTCATTAATAAGGATTTAAAATTTTTATTTTAGATGAAATGTTTAATTAAGTGAATTTTACCAAAGGTGATGAAAATATCTACATTTTTTACAGATAAACTAAAACTGGGGAGAAAAAAGAGAAAAAAAGTAGAAAAACTGAAGTGAGATTAAGAATGTAATACATTTTAAATATTAAGTGGCAACTCTTAAAAGAAATGTCCCAAATTAATACATAACATTCATTACCTTCTTTAATTTACCTATGAACTTGCTTGGAAAATTTAGCTTTAGTTTGCATCATGGACAAATTATAATAGGGAAAATGGAATTTTTTATAGCCTTTCAAATGAGGGAAGGTAATGAGGAACATGAGAAATTCTGATACGGAAAATCTTAGTCTTTAATCCAAGTTATGAAAATAGTTATAATTGAAGGCCTTGTATAGAATAGTTTGAAAAGAATACATCTCTCCTCAAAATCAGTTTTAAAAAAACTTATGGCTATTATGATTATTATTATAAGCGAGTTACCTCTTTCCATCAGTCCTGCATTTAGTTTTTGCCTTGCCACCTCCATGATTTATTTTATATTGTCTATTATGAATGCATCCATTTCCTCTAGTATTTACCAGGTCAGTTCTTTTAATACTCAGCTATAAGGCCACAAAAGACAGACATTTTGAAACTGTAAGGCATTAGTATATTTTTGGCAAAAATACACAAATTTTATTTTCTCCCTTCTCCTTCCCTTGACCACCTTGATTTAGCCAACTTAGGAGTGCAAGAGTGTATAGATATTTAAGCAGAGGATTTTTTTTCAATCTCTTAAGAGAAGAAGCTATCAAGTATAATTTGCAGGGCAAGTTTATACCGTGTGTGCATTTATTTCCAATCCTCAATTCTCTTTTCTCCTTCCCACCCTTTTGGGAAGGATAATATTTCTGAGTAAAGAATTATAAACATTTGAAGAGCTGATGCAAAGAATTTAGTTTGGAGAGAATAGGAGAGAAAACATTTCATCTCAAAAGTAGGGAGTATCATTCTTGAGAGTAGAAGGTGTTAAGGAGGTTGGGGAGTAGGAAAAAAGAAACAGAAACAGGGCTTCCAGAGAGAGAGAAGAGAGGATGGAGTTTGGGGGAACAGAGTGGGAAGGGGAGAGAGAGACTGGAGAACCAGGTCAGAAAGTATCAACAGCCCATTTGAGTAGACTGGACATTTTGTAATCCTTACTTTTTATTATTTTTTTAATTTTTATTTTAAAGATTTTATTTATTTATTCGACAGAGACACAGCAAGACAGGGAACACAAGCAGAGGGAGTGGGAGAGGGAGAAGCAGGCTTCCCGCCGAGCAGGGAGCCCAATGTGGGGCTCGATCCCAGGACCCTGGGACCATGACCCGAGTGGAAGACAGACACTTAACAACTGAGCCACCCAGGCGCCCCTGTAATCCTTACTTTTTCAAATAAACTTTTCTTAAAATCTACTTAACAGTGCTTTCACATTTGGGTCCAGCTGAATAATTGTTCTGGCTATAAGGACGAATAATTAAAAGCAGTTATTAGGGCCCAGCTGCACAGCACTATTTTTGAAAATAAACATTTTTTTTTTTGTAAATGACAGGATTAACTGCTGCTTTAAGAAGCTAAAATCCATTCCTTCACAGTGTACTCAGGTAATCCTCAAAAATACAATGTCTGAGGCCTTAGTGATCTTAGTTTTCTGCCTCTGCTGATTTTGTAAAGTCAAACAGTTCATAGTCAAGCTGGAATAGTAAAACAGAATGGTAAATGAGTCAGGATCTGGAGTTTAAACTTCAGCACCAACACTTAATAGCTTGGGAAATTTATCTAATCCTTACCCTAATTCCTATTTTAGTTTTTAAAGGATTAAGTGGAGTATTATATAAATTAATCAGATTTTAAAATTCACTTAATTTGTTAATCAATCTTAAAGTCTTCTTTGTATTTTGGCAACCCATAGTTGGCAAAGTCAGAAGATGTCAGTGGGGTATGTGACCTCATTTTGAGGTGACTTCGTGAAGTTTTAGGCAGCACTACTTTGAGAGGAAAAGAAAGTGCTCAGATTCTGCAGACTCTGAGAAACAGATTTTTGTTTAATATATCTGACTACTGTGTTGCTGTTGATGTACTAGGGTTCATCAACAAAAATTGGACTACACAGTGCTCACTTCAGCAGCACAAAGACTACAATTGGAATGATACAGATTAGATTAGCATGGTCTCTGCGTAAGGATGACATGCAAATTTGTGAAGCCTTCCATATTTAAAGAAAAAACTGGACTAGGGAATTGACCTAGCTTTCATTTAATTAACTGCATCACTCCTCAGTTTGCCTTTATTGATGCTTATCCATAGAGAGAAGAAATATCGTGGATAAGACTCTGAAATCTCTCTGTATCTTGGTCATCCGTGAACATTAAACACATCAAAGTGTTAGCAACAACAATGGCAAACTTTCAGTGCATCATTACTACGTATATGACACAGTTTTCAGTGCTTTACGCATGTTATTTAGTTGTCCCAACAAGTGTTACAAGGAGAGTACTATTGCCCATATTTTTACCTAAGAAAAATAAATTAATGAATCATCCAAAGTTATATAGCTAGTAGATGACATGGTCAGGATTCATAATGATACAATCTGTCTCATGAGGCCTGGCAATTAGTCACCAAGCTTTTATGCATACCATCTCAGTATGGATCATAATAGGTCAGATCTACTATAGGATATATTTTAAAGTTATTATGGGATGCTATATTTAATATTATGATTTTTTCATCTTTTCAAAAACTTAAGATGTTTGAAAAATTATAACACTGAAATATTTACAATATTCCAAAGACTTTTCTAAAATAAATTTGCTTGAATTGTATTAACATTGCTGCTCTCTAAAAGAAAAAAAAAATAAAAACGGACTTTTCAGTGACTCATCATCTCTGTTTCAGTTAGGTTCTCGTCTAAGGAAAAATAAATAGAATGAGCAGAGGAGAACTGTTTTCATTTCTGCAATTGCTATCAATTCTAAATATGTTTGAAATGTCACTGCACACTGCTTACCAACCTGTTGGTACCAACTGAAGTCAGAATTATTAATGAGAGACCTTTGCTAACAAATGCTAGGGATAGTGAATAATACCCTTCTACAAGTACAAATGAATGCACATTTGCTGGGATATCATATGAAATGACAGAAGTCCTACAATGCTGATGGGAAAGACAAAAATAATGAAGATGGTAGAAAATATGAAATAGTGTTTTGTACTTCTTGGTTAAATATCCAATAGTGCAGTGAATGGATTAGGGTAGTTCTATTTTGAACTTGCTGAGGAAGTTTTCCATAGTGTTTTCCATAGTGGCTGTACCAGTTTGCGTTCCCACCAACAGTGCACCAAGGTTCCTTTCTCTCTACATTCTTGTCACCACTTACTGTTTCTTGTGATTTTGATTTTAGCCATTCTGACGGGGGTGAGGTGGTATCTCATTGTGTTTTTGATTTGCATTTCCCCGACGATGGGTGATGTTGAGCATCTTTTCATGTGTCTGTTGGCCATCTGGATGTCTTCTTTGGAGAAATTTCTGTTCCTGTCTTCTGCCCCTTTTAGTTTTACAGATTGTTTCCTTTGCCACACAGATTTTTATTTTGTTGTAGTCCCAATAGTTTATTTTTGCTTTTATTTCCCTTGCCTCAGGAGACATATCTAGAAAAATGTTGCTATGACTGATGTCAGAGATATTAGTGCCTCTGCTCTTTTTAAGGATTTTTATGGTTTTAGGTCTCACATTTAGGTCTTTAATCAACTTTGAGCTTATTTTTGTGTATGGTAAAAGTGGTCCAGTTTCATTCTTTTCCATGTAGCTGTCCAGTTTTCCCAATACCATTTGTTAAAAAAATTGTCTTATTCCCATTGGATATTCTTTCCTGTTTTGTCAAGATTAATTGACCATATAATTGTGGATTTATTTCTGGGGTTTCTATTCTCTGTGTCTATTTCTATGCCAGTACCAAACTGTTTTAATTACTACTGCTTTGTAATATAACTTGAAATCTGGAATTGTGATTCCTCCAGTTTTGTTTTTCAAGACTGCTTTAGACATTTGAGGTCTTTTGTGGTTCCATACAAATTTTAGGATTGTTCGGTCTAGTTCTGTGAAAAATACTGTTGGCATTTTGATAGGGGTAGCATTAAATGGACAGATTACTTTGGGTAGTATAGACATTTTAATAACATTTGTTCTTCCAACCCATGAGCATAGGTTGAATGTTTTTCCATTTCTTTGCATCATTGAATTTCTTTAATCAGTGTTTTATAGTTTTCAGGGTATAGGTCTTTTGCCACTTTCATTAAGTTTATTTCTAGATATATTACTGTTTTTGGTATAATTGTAAATGGGATTGATTTCTTAATTTTAATTTCTGCTGCTTCATTATTAGTGTATAGGAATTTAACAGATTTCTCTACAGTGATTTTTGTATCCTATGACTTGTCTTAATTCATTTACCAGTTCTAGTAGTTTTTTAGTGGAGTTTTTAGGTTTTCTCTATATAGTATCATGTCATGTGCAAATAGTGAGAGTTTTACTTCTTTGTTACCAATTTGGATGCCTTTTCTTTCTTCATGTTGTCTAATTGCTGTGGCTAGGACTTCTAGTACTATGCTGAATAGAAGTGGTGAGAGGAACATCCTTATCCTTGTCTTATTTCTAACCTTAGGGAGAAGCTCTCAGTTTTTCCCCATTAAGTATGATGTTAGCTGTAGGTTTTTCATATAAGGCCTTCATTATGTTGAGATATGTTCCCTCTAGACCTACTTTGCAGAGGGTTTTTGTCATGAATGGAGTTGTACTTTGTCAATTGCTTTTCCTGAATCTATTGAAATGACCATATGGTTTTTATCCTTGGTCTTAATGATGTGATGTGTCATGTTGATAGTTTTGCAAATAATGAACCACCCTTGCATCCAGGGAATAAATCCCACTTTATTGTGGTCTCTGATTTAATGTATTGTTGGATTCAGTTTGCTAATAATTTGTTAAAGATTTTTGCTTCTATGTTCATGAGGGATATTCGACTGTAGTTCTCTTTTTTGTTGGGTCTTTATCAGGTTTTGGTGTCAGGGTGATGCTGGCCTCATAAAATGAATTTGGAGGCTTTACTTCCTCTCCTATTTTTTGGAATAATTTGAGAAGAGTAAGTATTAAGTCATCTTTAAATGCTTGGTAGAATTTGCTTGTGAAGCTGTCTGGTCCTGGACTTCTGTTTTTTGGAATTTTTTTGATTACTGATTCAATTTCATTGCTGGTATTTGGTCTGTTCAAGTTTTCTCTTTCTTCCTGCTTTAGTTTTGGTAGGTTATATAAGTTTTCCAATTTGTTGGCATATAGGTTTTCATAATATTCTGTTACAATTGTTTGTATTTCTGTGGTTTGGTTTTTATTTCTCCTCTTTCATTTGTGATTTTGTTTATTTGGGACCTCTCTTTTTTAATGAATCTGGTAGAGGCTTATGAATTTTGTTCATCTTTTCAAAGAACTAGCTCCTGATTTCATTGATCTGTTCTATTGTTTGGTTTGGTTTAGTTTCTATATCATTTGTTTCTGTTCTCTTCTGTATTATTTCCTTTCTTTTGCTGGCTTTGGGTTTTGTTTGTTCTTTTTCTAGCTCCTTTACATCTAAGTTTAGTTTGTTTATTTGAGATTTTTCTTGCTTCTTAAGGTAGGCCTGTATTGCTATAAACTTTCCTCTCAGAACCACTTTGGCTGCATCCCCAAGATTTTGGGCCATTGTGTTTTCATTTTCATTTGTTTCCATGTAATTTTTTATTTCTTCTTTGATTTCTGGTTGGCCCATTCATTGTTAAGTAGCATGTTATTTAATGTCAATGATTTGTGCTCTTTTCTGGTTTTTTTTTTTTTGGTTGATTTCTAGTTTTATAGTGTTGTGTTCAGAAAGGATAATGGTAGGACTTCAATGTTGAGACATGTTTTGTGGCCTAATATGTGATCTGTTGTGGAAAATCTCCCATGTTCTGTGGAAAAGAATGTGTATTCTGCTGTTTTAGAATGAAATGTTCTGAATATATCTGTTAAATCCATTTGGTCACTGTGTCATTCAAAGCCACTGTTTCCTTGTTGATTTTTCTGTTTGGATGATCTGTCTATTGATGTAAGTTGGGTGTTAAAGTGTCCTCCCATTATTGGATTACTATCGACTATTTCTTTTATATTTGTTAATAGATGCTATATGTATTTGGGTGCTCCATGTTGGGTGCATAAATATTTATAATTGTTATATCCCATTGTTCTAGTGTCTCCTTTATGATTATGTAGTATCTTTGTCTCTTGCTACAGTTTTTGTTTTAAAATCTATTTTGTCTGATATAAGTATTGCTATTCTTTCTTTTGACATCCATTTGCATGATAAATGTTTTTCCATCCCCTCACTTTCAATCTCAGATGTCTTTAGGTCTGAAATGAGTCTTGTAGGCAGCATATGGATGAGTATTTTTTTTTTAATCTGTTCTGTCACCCTCTGTCTTTTGATTGGAACATTTAGTCCATTTACATTCAAAGTAACTGTTTATAGAAATGTCTTACTGCCATTATGTTACTTGTTTTGTGGTTATTTCTATAGATTTTCTCTGATCCTTTCTTGTCCTCTTTTATGGTTTGTTGGCTTTCTTTAATGATATACTTGGATTCCTTTCTCTTTATTCTTTGCATATTTATTACTGGTTTTTGATTTCTGGTTACCATTAGGTTTGTATATCACATCTTCTGCATATAGCAGTTTATATTAAGTTGATATTTAAGTTTGAACCCATTTTTTATTCTTCTCTCCACATGTTTTAAATATATAGTGTCATATTTTACATCCTTTTATTTTGTTAATCCCTTGACTGATTTTATAGAAATATTTATTTTTACTGCTTTTATTTTTTTTAGTTTTCATATTCTCATTTATGGTCTTTCCTTTATACTCAAAGAGTCCTCTTTAATATTTTTTATAGGGCTGGTTTAGTGGTCATGAACTCCTTTAGTTTTTGTTCATCTGGGAAACTCTTTAACGTTCCTTCTATTCTGAATGCTAGCCTTGCTGGATAGAGTATTCTTGGCTGTAGATTTTTCCCTTTCAGCACCTCAAATGTATCATGCCACTTTCTTCTGGCTTGCATAGTTTCTGCTGAAAAATCTGCTAATAGCCTTATGGGGTTTCCCCTTGTAAGTAACTCTCCTCTTTTGCTGCTTCTAAATATTTTCTTTATCACT